AATAGACGAATTCGATGATATGGTGGCATCTGGACAAGGTATAACGTTTTTATCCGACGACAATAAAGAATTGCTTAATAGATTAGAAATAATATTAGCGGCCATGAAAGAAGGTCATCGATCGGACAGACAATACAACGAAGTCAATGCCATATTAAAACGGCTTTTGGAGAAAAAAATCATCACTAAAAAAGACTATATAAACGTCATTAAAAATGTCCAATAAAGAACAATTGTTCGTTATCACCTCGAATAAACCAGACATCAAATTGTCTCTAGACTACGAGTATGAACTCGATCGCAATAAACAGTACGAACTGGGATTAAAGTATTTCTCCGTTTACAATTCCATTAGAAACATCAACGAAAAAAACAATCAACTAAAAATATCGACGGATAACGGAGTTACGTTCGAAACCATAAGCTTACTACCGGGGAGCTACGAATACGTAGCCATCAACGAATACCTATCCGAATACGCAGGAAGCGTGAACGGCAAAAACAATATCGAATTCGAAGGTAATCTGAATCTGAACAAAATAAAACAGATCTTGAGAAATAACAGTCAAGTCGATTTCAACGTAGAAAATTCGTTGAATGCGTTACTAGGGTTCGATAAACGAATATACGCGCAATCGACATTGGCTCCGCACAAGGCCAACATCGAGAACGACATCGATGTGATCAACATTCACTGTAATTTGATCAACGGTGGATTTTTCAACAAGCACAAACGCCAAATCATATACAGCATACCGACTTTTACGGTGCCGATCGGCTACAGAATTATAGAGAAACCGTTTCAAACGACCTATTTACCAGTCAATTCTTTCATGATCAAAGATATAAATCTGGAAATCAAAGACGGTAAAAACAGGTTCATAGACATTGGCAACGAAGAAATTGTCATTCAACTTCATTTAAAACAATCTTCATTCTCTTCTTGATTAGAAAGATAATCGAAATCATCAAATTCATAGTTTTCGTCAAAACTATACTCATCTTTGTCGTTGTAAGGATACATAATTCCTTCACTGTTTGGTGGTTTTCTTTTAACATTATTCAAATAACTTCTAAAAACTTTAGTTTGTTTATCATTTGGAATAACTACTCCATTGGTGAAACTTTTTTCACATGGTTTATTAAATTCGTTCGACACATCATGTCTGCTTGCTAACTGAACGTAATCTTCTACACTTATCTTATCATTAGAATAACCTTTAAACGTTTTCTTTTCTTTTAAAACACCATCAGAAG